AATCCTAGTGCTAAGATATAGAGAATAATCTATGATGATACATGAATAACTAGACTGTAAACTATTAGGAATTAGTAAGTTCTAGGTTAAGAAAGAGATGTTTCCTTAAAAAATAACGTTCAATGTAATCAAGAAAGACACCCATTGTAAACTTTGAGGACACACACACACACACACACACACTCACACACTCATAAAGAGAGAGAGAGAGAGAGACAGGGACAGAAAGGACAGAAAGAGAGTGACTCAGAAACAAAGAGACAGAGAGACAGAGACAAAGATGGATAACATAACCCCCATATGTGTGCTTACCTATGTAAATGCACATATGTGTATGCACATCACACACAACTGAATGTATATACACACAAAGAAATAAAAAACATTCATTGGAAAGAAATGATATTTAATCTCATTTCCCCTAAGTCACAGTGGATCCACTTAGTCCACACTTTATTTCTTTTTTAATTTTTATTTTAGTTTATTTTTTTATTGGACAGAGGTAAATTTTTTATTGGATGTTTTATTTACATTTCTTACCCTATCCCCCCCCCCCGCTCAGGAACACCGTATCTGATCACCCCTCCCCCTGCTTCTCTGCAGATGTGCCCTTACCAAGCCCCCCACTCCTTCCTCCCCATCCTCAAATTCCCACCCACTGGGGCATCCAGCCTTCATGAGACCAAGGATCTCTTCTCCCACCTATGCCCAACAGGGCCATCCTCCCTCTCATATACAGTTGGAGCCATGGGTCCTTCCCTAAGTGCTCCCAGGCTGGTGGTTTAGACCCTAAGAGCTCTGGTTGGTTAGTATTGTTGCCCTTCTCATAGGGCCGCAAACCCTTTCAGTTCCTACAGTCTTCACTCGAACTCCTCCATTGGGAACCTCATGATCAGTTCAATGGTTAGCTGTGAGCATCTGCCTCTGAATATGTCAGACTCTTGCAGACCTCTAAGGAGACAGCTATATCAGGCTCTTGTCAGCATGCACTTCCTGACTTCCACATCAGCATCTACCTTTGGAGACTGCATGTGGGATAGATACCCAGGTGTCTCTGCTTATTTTCTCCTTGTTTATCAGAGAAGAAGGGTATCCATTAAGCACATAATCATACATACAGTTATTAATTACACATGTGACATAGCACAGGTGGCTTATAACCATTATCTGAATGTTATAATAGACAGAACTAATCACTGACATGTCACCTGAATCTCCCATGTTTTCTCCCACGTCTGCAGCAGCAGGTGGCTATTTCTTAATCTTCATCCCCAGGGAGCATGGTCTCAGGTTAAAAGATTTCTTTTTAAATGACTGTTTCTGACAAGGCCTTGCTTCTGAGCCTAGCATCTCAATATGTGGTTAGCTAAATGAATAATCTTTAACATGCATACAATATTACAAAGGTCATTCCTTTTTGCATTACATAACAAACTCTAATGTCATATCTTGTGGATTCAACCAAAGACATCAGGAATAGCAACCATATAATTTTCTCACTGAAATCTGTCTATAGAACATTTATCTTGATTCCAAAGCAAGAAAAGCTTACTTTTCCTAGATATTCAACATGATGGTTACCATAAAAATGCTGAGATTTTATAAGAGAGTGATGAGCATTTTCTTTGCTTTTCCAATACAAAGTTCAATGTTAAATTCAGGACTTTCTGTGGCAATTAAACATTTCATAATGGTGGCCAGGCTTTATTTATTTTATGTAATTTCTCTTTAGCTTCTCTAGTTTATTTATTTTCAGCCAGATAGTTCAGATATTTCTTTACGTCAACTAAAGCTTGACTGAAGCGAGATTGGAAGCGACAGAGAAAGGAATAAAAATAGTCATTACAATGATTAGGTATCTCTTTGGGGAGTCATGAAACCTGCTGCTAATGAGTTCTATATATTACAGCCTGCCAAAAGGACAGAGTTAAAATTTCCTGACAGATCAGAAGGTTCCTAACTGAATTATACTGGACGTATTCCTTCTTAGGACAGCAGCAGTCAGAGCTACAGCAGTGAATAAGAGATACATGTTCTCCACTAAGAAGAGTCTTGAAATGTGATCAGAACTAGAAACACCAGGCAAAGCCAACTCAACAAAGGGAGGTTTGCATATCTGCTTGAACTTGGAAATAATATTTAAGATGACACCTTAGTGGCAATTTCTAAGGGTCATCCAGGGATACTTATAAACAGGAATATCTATCTCAGTCAGATGACAAAAAGTAAGAAGGACCCAGATGGCCAGTGACACTTAAAATCACATCATGTGTTACTATTGTGAGTTAAAAAAAATTATGAGATTCTCCTGATTCTTCCATAGGAATACCTGATCTTAGTCCAACATTTGGACTCTCATTCAGTTGCTAGTAGAGCCTCTCAGAGGGCAGCCATGTTAGGCTCCTATCTTCAAGCACAGCATAGTACCAGTAACATGGCCAGGGTTTAGTATCCGACCATGGGAAAAGTCTCAAGTTGGGTCAATCACTGAATTGCCTTTGCTTCAGTTTCTGCTCCATTTTTGTCCCTGCATTTCTTTTAGACAGGATCAATTCTGAGCCAAAAATTTTGAAGGTGGTTTGATGACCCCATCCCTCCAAATGGGGGCCTTATCTTTCTACTAGAGGTAAACTGAAAGGGATGGCAATCCCAAAGGAACTCTAACAGTGTCAACTAACCCAGACCCTTGGGAGCTCCCAGGGACTAAGCAACCAACAAAATAGAATACAGAGGCTGGTCCGAGGCCCCCAGCACATATGTCTCTGAGGACTGCCTTATGTGGCTTCAGTGGCAAGTACAGATGCACCCAAATCTGTACAGACTTGATGCCCTGAGGAAAGGGGATGCCATGGTGGGGTAGCAAGGTAGCACTCTCTCAGAGGTAAAAGGGAGGGAGGATGGGGTGAAGAATTCTGGGATGGGGATAAGGGGAGAGAAACATTAAAGCATGTAATTATTAAAAAATAAAATAAAATTTAAAAAATGAGATTATCAAAGAAGCTTCAGTTCACAGTCATGGGTAGATCTACTAGCCACATCCACTGGGTATGTCTGGAGCCAAGGGTGATGTTTAAGGCCCTGTCATCATGATAAATGGCACCTTTCCACATGAAATGAAGCTTCTTCTCTTTGATATTATTGTTGACTCACTACGTCCGTCAGTGACCATTTTGGTTGAATAAAATTATTATAAATAAAATAGACTGTTTTACCTTAGCATAATAACTTCATAGAACCAGGCAGGATGTGGACGAGTAGAATTCTAGCATTTAAAAGGCAGAGATATGGAAACCAGATGTTCATCCGTAGCTAAATAGTGTAGCTAAAAATTGACAACCTGGGCTGTATAAGACCCTGTCAAAGGGAGTTGGTTGAGAATAAATAAAAAAAACCCAAACAAACAAACAAACAAACAAAACAACAACATAAAATAATCACAAAGGAATTCGAAAATTCATTATATGTGTATATAAGACAGCTGGCAAACTACCAAAGCGCCTTCTTCAAATTTGACCTGAATAAATAAACTTAAAGAAATCGCTTCTAAGTAAGTGCTGCTAATAGAACTGATTGGCTAAAGGGTTTCAGCTCTACACATTCTAAATACAATCTACCTGAGCAATTTCATTTGTTTGGGTCAAGTCATTCAGAAGCATCAGATGCTCTTACAAAATCATGGTGGTTGTAGATTGTAGCATAGTTATCCTGTGCTTTATGGCTAATGTCCACTTTTAAGTGAGTAGATGCCATATGTCCCTTTCTAGGTCTGGTCAAACTCATTCAGGATGATATGTTCGAGTTCTACCTGTTTGTTTTCAAATTGCATGCTGTCTTTGTTTTTAATAGCTAAGTAGTATTCTATTGTATAAATGTATTGCATCTTTATTCAGTTGTCCAAATGCACAGAATCCACTTGTTAGTTGAGGGACACCTAGCTTGTTTCAAATTTCTGGCTATTATGAATAAAGCAGCTATGAGCATAGTTGAACAAGGGCCCTTGTGGTATAGTGGAGCATATTTGGAGTATATGCCCAGAAGTTGCATAGCTGGGTCTTTATCTAGAGCTATTCATGCTACAATCCACAGACTTAAAGAAACTAAGTAATAAGGAGGGCCAAGAGAGGATGCTTGAATCACACTCAGAAGGAGAAATAAAATAAACATCAGAGGTAGATGAAGGGTGGGAACTGGGTGAGTGGGGGGTTGGGAAAGGAAACTAAGGTAGGGATCAAGTGGGCAGGGCAAGATGTCTGGGGGAGTGAAAGTAAGTTGCTGGGATAAGCATCTCTGAGAAAAGCTGGAGACATGGATGAGGGAAGCTCTGGAATATTTATAGCAGTGACCCTATCTGAAGCTCCTAGCAGCTGTGACTACAGAACTGAAGTGGCCACCTCCTATAGCCACGCAGGACTTCCACTTGAGGAAGGGGGGCATTAACCTACCCACAAATACTTCAACCCCAAATTTGTCTGGCCTACAAGATGAAGATAAAGATGAAGCAGAGATTGAGAGGATGGGCAGCCAATGATTGGCCCAACTTGAGACCCATCCTATGGGAAAAAGCCATCCCCTGGCACTATTAATGGTACTCTGCTATTCAGCAGAGAGGAATTTAACATAACTGTCCTCTGAGAGGCTTCATCCAGCAGCTCATGGAAACAGATGCAGTGATTCACAGCCAAATGTAAGCTGAGCTCAGAGAGTAGTATGGAAGAGATGTGGAGGAGAATATTAACCAGATCATAGATAGTGAGAAATTGTGTACCCATTGTAGTGTTTATTCTATTTATCTGTTGGTACCAAGGGTTTCACACCTTTAAAACTTTCTTCCAAATAACATGTTGTAGATAAAAACCTGAAGATGCTGTTATAGGATATAAGGATGTGAGATCAGGTCATGTTGGGGATTGTGTTTACTCTTCACTTATTATCACAATAAATCTCTGCAAGGCACAGATTTTTTTTAAGAAGGTAAGTTTGGAAATACAATCACTTCCTACCTGCCTCTTTGGAAATCTGTGTGAAGGACTCCACACCTTTCTCTCCATAGCTTCCTTCAGATGCAAGAGTAGACACATAATTCCATCCCAAGGCCTTTACAATGTCTACCATGGCCTGTGCTTGAAAGGAATCAGGTGGGACCACTCGAGAGAAGAAGTCATATCGCCGGTCATCACTGAGTTCAGGAGCAGTGGATGCATAACTAATCTGAGGGATCTGAAAGGACAAGAAAACACCATGTGAGAACACACCAGGAGGGTGGGATGGAGTCCCATGTAGGATTAGCCACTCAAAAGACAGGGCTGGAGCAGCACACAGGATGGCTTACTGCCCAGCACCCATCCTACAAGTACACAACACCTAGATGCACACAGAAAGGGCTATTTTCTTTTGTGCCTTCTTCTATTATCTCTCGTTAATAAATGGGAATGGGTATAGTAGGGGAAGGCTATGGTAAATATCATGGCTAATTAAATGTGGAGGCTTCAAAACCAATCTATTAAATATTGTAACTGATATGAAACCAATGCAGCCCGACTGCCTTGTATCTAGAGACCAGAGTAGTCAGCAGAGGTTATGGTTCCTCAGGAACATGCGTTGTTAGCAAAGAGACCTGTGGACTCGCAAGGACACATCAAAGTGAATTCCATGTAGTGATTCATTTGCCAAAGAACACCATAATATAAGGGTACTCAGTAGCACACTTAGCCCAGACAAGGGTGGTCCCCAGTGCAAGCCTTCTCAACCTGTGGGTCATGACATTTTTCTGGATCACGTATCAAATATTCTGCATATCACGTATTTGCACTACAATTCATAATAGTAACAAAGTTACAGTTATGAAATAGCAACAAAATATTTGTGTGGTTGGAGGTCACCACAACAGGAGGAGCTGTACTAAAGGGCCACAGAATTGGAAAAGTTGAGAACCACTGCTTCAGCCGTTCTTACACTTTGGACGGTCTTCTCCAAAGCCGTACACATTCTCTTTAGGTGCTGGGAGACAGCTTTCAGTCCTGTTGTGTGCAGTGCACAAGTACTAATAATTCCTTTATTTACCCATTAAAAAGATATCAGATCCTCTTAGATGAGATTAATCTATTTAGTTATTTTAAGGAGCTCTAGAGCTTATACCTATGAAGACCAAACTACAGAACCATGAGGAAGTTAAGTATCAAACAAATTACTCCTCGTCTCTTTCCTGGAGGGTATTGAATGTTTTGGGATTATATGTATGACAACTACATATACATACAAATACACACACACACACACACACACACACTTGGAAACACCCTAAGGAAAACTAAAAAGCCACTATTGATTACAGGCATGGCTTGGGACCTGACATCTAGATCCCTGTGTTAGTTAACCTATACAGTGTACTCCACACAACTTGTTCTCTCTCTGATTTCTGGAAGGTACAGTTATGAAATAACCAGAACCTATGATTTCTAGAAATAGCCTATGATTAGTAGTACAAGTAGTTATGTGCAGTAATAAGGTGGTGACAAGCTTTTGTTTGAAAATTTCTTTATCACGTTATTTTCTCTGATATAATTTTTAATCTTTGCATAAATTGAACCAATAGTCCATCTATTTAGGCACAAATAAGCCAAAGCCAAACTCATTTTGACTTTCAAAGTCCAGAAAATTCTATTTGGTTTGATTGTTGCTGGTTTTCTGTTCAGGTCATTTTCTTCTGTTGAAGCATAGTTATTATAAAGATCAGTAACCCGCCAACCTTTCAAATTATACATTAGACTCATGTAGCCAGAAAGAAATCAGATGTTCTCTGTTCCCCTATTCATGCTGCAGGTCTGCACCATAACCATTGGCAAGAAGTCTCTCCGCCCCAAATACAAAGCACAAACCAGTGTTAGGAAACCTCAGAGTCTTCTGCTGAGGTCTTCATCTGAGTAATTGAATAACAGGGCTTTCAAGAGGCACTGGAAGTAACGTGGAATAAAATTGGACTATCAAGTCCTGGCATCAGAAATTGAGTCATTTGTTAACTAATCCCTGGACCTCAATACTTTTGTTGCATCAGCTGCTCTCACGAGGCAGGAATGTGCATTGTTCAGTATGATACCAGGACACAGTAGGCAATTCATGCCCATAGGAATTATTATGATAATACAGAATAATATATCTCCCTAACTAATGCTATCTGTTCTCCATATTTGACTTTTTGTATTGATTTAAGTGTGAAATATCTGACACAGGCTCATGCATTTTCAGTATTTAGACTCCAGTCAGTGCCACAGTTTGAGAAGGTTCTGGAACATTTAGGGCATTGATCCTTGCAGAAGAAACTGCATCAGTGGAAGTAGAGTTTGAAGTTTTATATTCTGGCCCTACTTGCTCTTTTCTCCCCTGACTGCCTACCTCGCCTTTTGGCCTTTCCACTATGAAAGATTCTAATCCTCTCCACAGCTCTAGTCTCAAATAAACCTTTACTCTCCAAAGTAGGTTTGTATCAGATCACACTATCAAAGTAACCAAAAGAAATAATATATTTCCCTAAGTTCTCTACAGCTTAGGTTAGCTTTCTCCTATGTTCCTAGGGCAAGTTAACCATTTTACATGTATTCAAATGATGACAGGCTAAGAAACAACATCTTTTATATGTTAAACTCTTTATAACATATACACCATGTTCTAACAGTTTCGTAGGCAATTTCTCATCCAGTCATTGTGAAGTGTTTTACACTATAAATATACTAGATTATATTATACTATGTGGTACTATATTAGCTTATTTTACACAAATAGTAGGAACTGAGCTGCAGAATTCAACCATGACCTCAGAATACATAGCTATAGAATTAATATTCCTACTCAAGCCTGAAAATGGGCTGTGTAAACAACTGAACTCTTAATTATGAAAATTTATAAAATCTTACTAAAATATGTAATAATAAGCATAAAAAGCAAGACCAGAAGATGATCAGAGTCTAAGTGGGTTTCTGCCCCTAGCAATGGCTATGTCATCACTGAAAGTTAGTTTGCAGCTCATTCTGAAGCAATTGTTCAAATTGTTTAAACACATTGGTGGTGCTCATACAAATACCTTAACAATTTGGGTTATGTATGTGCTCGTAGTTTGGCGATTTTAAGTACTGAGGAAAAAGTATTCATTTATAGAGCGTTAGGGAGAAACAGAGTTGAGGGAATTCAGATTTGACAGGATTTTCCCAACAAGAAATGAAAAAATACAAGGCAAGTAGGATAAGACATTTCCATTAACTTTGATTTGATGAAATGTATAAGTCTTATGATGATGTATAGATGTCCCTACCCAAATCCCTCCCCATTTCTGAAATAAACCTAGCCTACTATCAACTTTTCACTTATGTAGATGCTGAGAAATATCACAATTACAACACAATGAAAAAAACATTCTTTAAATTATACACAAATTACAGTTAAGAAAATCTTGGTGAAAGAGACTCCTTCTCTTATTACCACTTGTCTTTTGAAAACAATTGCTTTCTTAGGTCCATCCATTTCAGGTACATAGGAAATAACTCCTAGACTAAGTTTCAATTCAGTCCCATGAAGACCTCCTTTTCACTATTTTTCTTATATCAACACCAGGCATATAATGATCCTCGGATAGGGAATTAAAGATCAAATGGATTTCACTTCTAAGATCAAAATACATTGCACAGAGATAACCCCCCGGGTAATAGAGATGAAAGAACAGAGGAATTTCTATAACCTGTGATACATGGTCCTGCATATTTGCACAGTGATGAGTCCTCCTGCTCAGCTTTTTGCTTTCCAGCAGATATTCAGGTTTATGAAATCATTGTTTTGAGAATTCTTCTAATGTTTAATCACAGAAGTAAAAATTTATCTTACTGTATTATTCTTTTTTCCTGATTAAAAACGTGTCTATCACTGAAGAATAATTCTGTTAATGCTAAGAATAAAATAGGATACGAAACTACCACCACCTACTTTAAATGGAATGAAATATGGGATGAATTTTTACTTTGTCTTAGTAAATTAATGATACATTATTGATGAAGAGTGCAAAGAATGACAAGTCTTCTTAAATATCTTTAGTACTTTTACCTCTGCATTTGAATACGCACACATATAATAAAAATATGGATTTAATTTTCTTTCCCCTTACCTGGCAGTTTCTTCTCACTCCATCCCTCCTCCTCTTTCTTTCTTCTCTTTCTGTGTATTTGTGTGTGTGTGTGTGTGTGTGTGTGTAGAGAAGGAGAAAGTGAGAGAGAGAGAGAAAGAGAGAGAGAGAGAGAGAGAGATGAGATCTCATGATTCTCTGTACATTTAGCCTCACCTCATATTGCTAAATACTTAAATTTTCACTATCATTCAAACCTGAAATCCAGTCCTCAGAGCTGATTAAATTATTGTGCTTCTCTATCAGGTTTCACTAGAAATGTTCAAGGATGTGCCTTCAAAGTGACAGAATATTCATGTTTTTGGTGAAATCTCTTCATGTTATTTCAGGTTGATCAATGAGGTAGAACAAGCCCTCAAATGGTTCACTTGTTGCCCCAATACCTCTCATTAAACAATTAATCATGGTTTGCTTCCAGGGAAGACTGCTGTTTCTTCTCATATACTAAATTCTTCTTTTTAGTTTATTACTATTGGGGAGGATGTATGGGCACACATTGACAGAGCACACATGTGGAGATCAGAAGTCAACTGTGTGAAATCGGTAGCCTGCTTCCACCTTTCCATGGTCTCTGGGGATTGAATTCAAATCAGCAGGCTTGAATGTCAAGTCTCATTCCTGTGAGCCATTTTTACTGATCTGTATATATTAAATACTGAAATAATCATTTGATATTTGGATATAACTTTTATATCATATTATTAGCTTTCAAGTCTTGGTTCAACACTTGAATATGTTAGCTTTTATGAGTTTGGAGTGTGTTGAAACTGTATTCATTGTTGGTTGTTTCTTCTTTAAACTGATTTAGAAAATAACTTGAATAATCATGTATGTTTAGTTTTGGATATGAACTTTAGAAGACCTTTTTAAAAATTATACCAAAAGTGTTCATTAAGATTGGATGAGAATTGTATTATAGCTATATATTATGGTAGAACTTAGAGATAACAACACCGTGTCCTCAGTTATGGAAAAGTAAATATTATTACTTTAATTAAAATTCATTAAATATATATTTTTATATAAAATAGTTGAATTGGAGTTACCCTAAACA